CTACACTGCAATTCACTGTACAGTGGCCTGGTAAAAAATGAATTATATACCCTACAAAAACTTCAAAATTCTGCAGCAAGACCATTCTCCATTGGCTGCGTGTAGAGCAAATAATTAAATTCAAAACTTCTCCTCTTTGTTTTCAAATCACCTTCTGGCCTCTGCCCGTTGTACATATCCATTTACATATCTCTACGCACCCATGTGCGCTTAATAAGATCTTCCAACTCCATCTAACTTGTTCGACCGGTCTACCATAAACGTATTGGTGACAATTCATTCCTGTCGATGGCTGCCCAACTTTGGAATGGTCTGCCCAATTCTCTTAGATCCTGTGATTCGCTTAGGCAGTTCAAAGCACATCTAAAAACACACCTTTTTAATAGTTCCTCTCACCTTGCTAGATCGTTTCTGTTTATTGCTTTCTTTGTTTTCTTATTTTTGCAGTGCTTTATTGCATTATTTTAGTTAGCTCACATGGGTTTGGTTCTTTGCAGGTTTTACTAGGGGGGATGTTTCATACTTATTGTGGAGAGTCCCTCACAGCGCTACGTAACTGAAAGGAAAGGTGCTATACAAGTAACAAGTAACGAACTGGAAAACCAACCACTAATGGCACGAAGAAAGATTTATGAGATAGCAAAGTTAAGAAAGAAAATTCAGAAAGAAAGAGTGGCATCGCCGTTCAATAATAATGCTAATAGAACCCACAATTGGAAAAAGAGTCAGTGAAAAAGAGGTTGAGAGAGTACTTTAGTACACTGCTCAATGAAGAAAACATGTTTATAGCTGATCTCCCAAAAGCTTCACAAGTGGACAATCCACAACCAGAAATTTCTAGGGTAGAAGTAATGGCTGCAATAAGTAAGATGAAACGAGGAAGGGCATCGGGACCAGAGGAGATCACACTGGAAATTGTATTAGCACTGGGACCAGAGGGAATTAAATTGATACATAGAGTAATGAATGCGATAGGGAGAGATAAGCGGATACCCGACGACTGGTTAAAATCAGTATTGATACCAATCTTTAAAAAAAGTAAAGTAAACATTTACGAGTGTTGCAATTAGCTGTTATCATAGATGATGAAGTGTTTAAAAAAAATTTTAGACAACAGAATAAGGGAGACTGTGGATCCATTGTTAGGTTAAGTGCAGTTCGGTTTTAGAAAGGGCAAGGGAGCAACAGATGTGATATTCATTGTGAGACAGATAAAAGAGGGTTGTTTGGCCTTCCTGGATCTAGAGAAAGCCTACGATGAGGTAAACAGAGAAATGATTCCACCAATACGAAGTTCCGGAATAAATAATAATGTTAATTGCCATGTACAGAACAGGAGCTGCTTCGGCGAAACCAATGCTTTTGAAGTGCAAGTAGTTCTGCACCAGGGTTCTGCTCTGAGTCCGCTGCTGTTTATCAACTATAATAGTTCTCCGAAGAAGGCAAATTTGTAGTGACAGTTTAAATTCTCTATCGTTAGATGTTAACGACTAATAAAGTTATTATTATAGAACATTAATTAGGCGAATAATGGTCAATTATGAATTATGAGGAAATATGTTTTTGAAAGACAGACGGCAGTTTAATATTCTTCCGCGTTACCAGATCTCTAAAATTTTGTCTGCTATTAAAATTAGCTGTTTTTATTGGTTAGTTTGATAGTTGGTCAGCTGAACTGCAACTAGGACTTGATTTAGTCGTAGTTAGAACTTCTACTACGTTGTTTGTGAATACAAATTGAAGTTGAAGCTGAGAATAAATGAAGTTCTAGTTCAAAGTTCGACTAAAGTTCGTTTTAAGAAAACGGGAGTTATTTCCAGCGGGGTCCTTCTGGTGGTAAAACTAACTATAACAATCGGAAAGAAACGTCCACAACCAGGTTCCCACGGTACTCTTAAGGGTGAAGCAGACACGTCCTTCGTACACCGCACAGTGGGCCAGGGCGAAATCAAAGTGTGTGAAAAGTCCATTTTGGTGACTGGCTTTTACAGCTTTTTTTACATGATTGAAAATGGGTATACCCTGGTGAATCTATCCTGAAAATATTTTATATTTAAACGAATTTTAAGGGTAGTATTTTTCAACAAATGTCGGAATTTCTATAAATATTTCAAATGCTATAATTGACTACATTATATCTAAACACGTTTTTTTTCTTACAGAAAATTCAGAATTACTTTAAAATGCACAGGTTACTTGTATATAAATTGGGGAACACAAGTATATGTTTTGGTTTAAATTTGAAGTTTGCATCAATAATAAATCGTTGTTTAAACGACAGAAAAAAATATTTAAAATTCAATTTTTAGAAAAGTAGGAGAGAAAGGTTAGATTCATGTGGAGTCATGGTTTAATTTTTACATCACCATCTTCAGTATAGCTTAGCTTTATGATGCTTTATGATGAAAATAAAGGAAATACATTTTTATTTTCATATTTATATATTCCATGTAAAATTATCAATAATTATATATTTAGTTATAATTTATTCGTTTTAATCACCGTTTCAGGCTTCTTTTATATTCATAAGGCCGAAAAAATCACTCATTGCAAAGAAATTAACTACCGTAACGAAATTATTAACTAGAGTAGAATTTGAGGAAAGAAACGTGTTCAATAATTATAATGAGGTGAAGCAGTTTCATGGTTAGTATTTTCTTGTTTGTTTTATTTCATTGCCGATGCATCTTTTTACTATGTTTATAAAATACACAAATATAAGGAAATAGTAAAATGTAGTTTAAAAAAAAAGTATAGCCTTACATACGATGTAATGGCTGTTTCAGGCTTCTTTTATTATTGAAGAAGCCGGAAATTGCACTCACAAGACCTTTTTTTGCATGGAAACTAACTATAACAATCGGAAAGAAACGTCCACAACCAGGTTCCCACGGTACTCTTAAGGGTGAAGCAGACACGTTAGTCGTACGCCGCCGCCTTCAGGAACCATTGCCAAGAGTGAAGTAAGTCAGATGATAAAATTAAGACTGGCTATTGTTAGGTGCAAACACATACCATGGCAGTGAATGTGTACGCGTGTGTTCACATCTCGTCTCTGCTGGTTCCGATTTTGTTTTATTATATCAAATTTGTTTAAGCTTTAACATTTTATTTACCTATATGGACAGGGTCCCTTGACCCCTGCCGGCAGGTGGATCCAGATATTCTCAAAAGTGGGGCCGATCGAGATCACACCGCCTTAGGGGAGGTCCGGGATTTTTTTTTCTAGACAGACGCTTGAAGTAACCTTTGAACGTTTGGAGATCATTTTTTCGATTTTTTTTTAAATATCTAAAAGGAGGACGGGATCTTCGCGCCCTCTAATTCCGCTCCTAGCCTGCCGGTGGTGTGTTGTCTCTCGATCTCCCCCCACACATTTGACATCTATGGATCCGCCCCCGATGGATCCATATTTACAATTGGATTAGGATGATGTACTGTTGTTTTTGTAAACAACATAATTATGATAATGATGAAATATTGTTTGAAGGTTTGCATGTTGAAGTAATGCTGGCGGTACAACATCATATTTCTAAAAAGATTTTTTTTTTTTTTTTGAGAATGTCTTTTTTTTGTATACAAATAAAATTACTTGCCGCGAAAACAAAAATGTGAAATTCAGATATATTTGATTTAACCAGGGAACAGTGAAATGATATTGTAATTTCACTTTTTCCTTATTTAACAATTTAATTACCGCATCAAAATACACAAGCCATTACTACGAATCTGTTAGAAATTGATAATATAATTTGTACTCTCTTTTACACTTAATTTTTCACTACTGGGAACTGCAAAAAAAAAAAGAATAATTCATAAACACACACAAAAAAAGCTCCTTAAAAACAACCCAAATGAACCGCAGTTCAGCCTTCTAACCTGGTTTTTTTTTTTGGCCCAAAAAGGGCCGAATCGACCCAGGCCGAAACTACCAGGATTCATCTTATTCGTGAAACTCTTGACATAACTTTCACCACTATATATATCCAATATATTATAACAATGTCTGCCATGGTTTTTGGGAACAATTTGCCATTTTCTGCACACGTTTTCAATTATAATGGCTGAAAAATATACTGGATTCATGTTCATACCAACATCATGCAAGTCCATCTAATAAATCATGAGTTATGAACCTAAATGTTAATCAAAAAAGTAATAAAATAAAATGGCAGTAGCAAACTTAATCAATTTATACATTTTTCTTGTTAATACCATTTTTTATGTGCCATATGTATACTTTCAATAAATTTACAACTTTTTTGTGGAGGTCAAATGATCTTTCTCTCTCTAGTTACGACAATTTCTGCATGTTTTCAAAACCTTTCCAATTTTAATGACTGACCAATCTGTAGGCTTAATGTTGACACCAACATAATACAAATCTATTTGACTAAATCGAGAGTTATGTGCACCCCAAAACTGTGATTTGTTTTTTTGTTAAAATCAATTTGTGTATTCCATATGTCAATAAGTAAAAGAAAAACACAATTTGTACTAAATACATCAAAAATTAAGGATATGGCTAAACTTTATTTGTATTTTATGCAAAAATTGCATAATAAAAAATTTTAACGAGCTTTTCACCTCTAGTGACGTTAATAATTGTCGCATTAATTTTATGTAAGAAACATATATGCTACACATTGCTACCAAACAATATTGATAAGCTTTATAATTCACAGGTTATGGGCATAAATGTAACCCCGAAATATATTAAAATTAAAACACTAACGACCATTACAAATGACGCGAGTACATACAGTGCATCCTTTTAATTTTCTTGTTGAAATAATTTTTTTTTTGTTCTATATGCCCGTAGGAACAAAGTGATACCAAGGAAGGTTAACTGTGGGGCGGGCTGTATGGTGACCTCCCTCCAGCCCATGGCCTATTGCTATTGAACTGCTATTACTGTTAGTCAAATAATGATTGTAAATATTTTAAAATGCAATTTTCTTTCTTCAGATTATTCTAATTTATCGCTTCTTATTACTTACTGGTCACTTTTCAAATACTCCATGGTTCTCAGCTAATTCTTCTGTAGTGTAGGTTTATGAGGTGTAGTTAAATGGCAGGTAGTAATAGGCCTACTATAAGGGAGCTATATTTCCAATACTTGTAGGTTGTACCTAAATTTACGAAACAGAAACAGAGAAAATATAAGTATGTTTAAAAGACGAATACATTGAAATCAATCAGCAGAAAAAAAATTGAAGATCAGAAATAGAATAGAACAGTCACCTCTTTTTAAAATGCTTTGACAGAGTCACAGTGTTTATTCAGACTGGGTTTAATTGTCTGATAAATAGCATTTCATGAATGAAACAGTCAAATTTGTTCCTACATTTCTTTAAAATGCTGAAACATGACTCAATACTGCTTTGGGCTGTTATGGTGGTCCTTAGCATGTTGTCCTAACAGAAATTATGTTCAGCAATACGTTGGTAGAAGTGTCGGTTTGTGTATCCGACATAACTTGCATCACACAAGTCACATTTAAATCTGTACACAACACACTGCTGATTTCTGATTGTAGGTTTTCTTTCTGTTTTCTTAATTTCATCACGTATTTTTCTGCTTGTGAAAACAGGAAAAAATGTTTTGGTCTATTTTGTTGCTTAGTTGGCGTAGTTGACGCTTAACTGAGTTGGCAGATTTCTGGTCTTTGAAGAGTAGGATAATTCGGATGGGCATTTCCTTCTCGTCGGCTCTACTATTACTGAGTTTATTATGTAGAGGTTAATGTGTTAGAATAAGCACTTTTAATAAGATAGTTACAACAGTTCCTTGAGTAACAGTATGCTGCAAGCTTTATTCAGCTATTAAACTAATCTACTGCGAGAGCAGCTTAGCCTAGACTGGTAGCCACTAGGTGTTAGCTAGTTGAACCGTAGTGTTCTCTAGGTCTCCGGTTCAATTCGCATCGCTGCCTCTCCTTTTGTTTCAGCTAGATGGCTGAAATACAAGTTATATCTGTCTTTCGAATGGGACGTTTAAGCCATTTCATTATAATCATTTATTTCTAAATCAACTCAACATAATATTAAAGGAAAATAACTTATTATAACATACAGTCGAAATAATTATGTTATGTTCACGCTCTCCTAAATAAAAATAAAAGAAAAAGTATAAATAAGCAAATAACTAAATATAAGATAATAATTGAAATAATTGCATGATTAATTAAAAGTTACTGTCCCGTGTGCTTTGATGGCCCATATGCACATTGAAGAACGCAGTCCACTCTTCGGAAAAGAGTAGTGGATTGTCTCCAGGGGTGCTGCCCAAACCATCATTAAAAGGACCCCACTAGAAATAAGTTTTTTTTTTTCTAGACATTTGTGGGCTAACCTTGTTGTGTATACTGAATATATCCATACTGCATTACATATATGCAATCGGTTAACTCAAGGTTTCTTAGATATTAATAGAGCGGGGTCAGTTCAAAGATGTTAGCTTAGATTTGAATCTCAGCATATTGTTATTAGAGGAACCGCTGTACTGCCTTATTGATTTGATCATTCTAACAAATCAACGTCTACATATTGCATTTAGATACAACCCCCTCACCAACCAATCACCATATTACATTGGCTTTTAGGTTAAAATTATAACAACATTTAGCTTGTCAATTAAGTGTATATAATACTCTTCCAGTAATCCATATATTTCTGGCAGTAAGACGACTGTAATTCATTTTTTTTAGATCTGTAACTTATTTGAAATTTGATAACTTACGTGGATCGCATTTAATAAACAAGTCACCTCTTTTCAAAATGGCGCATTCAAAAGTACTTGCAAGTACAGTCAACAAGCTCTTATGATGTGTATAGTGAAAAATAGGTGTAAACCCCTTTGTTAGTATTCAAAACTTAACATGTGTAGATGTAATAAACCGTAAGATTATATGAATACAATTTATTCCGCACTCATGATCGCATTTAATAGGACAGTCACCTCTTTTCAAAACGGCTCATTGAAAAGTGCTTGCAAATTCAGTCAACACGCTCTCTTTTGATGTGTACAGTCAAATACAGGCTTAACCCCATTTAATTATTTAATGCCCGTTAGCTATCACAGGAAGAGCTGATGCAGTGTACAGGTGTCGAATTAATATTATATCGATGCCAAAAACTTATACTTAAGGCTCTACTTTAACTATGGTTCTTTGGATTCAATATGGGTCGCGAACCAATATACTCTGTATGACCTGTCGTGTA